ATTATTTGACTAATTATAAATCCTGATATGTGTATGTGTTAGTCGCTCAGTCATGTCCAACTCTTTGTGAGCCCATAGACTGTAGCCTGCCCGGCTCCTCTGTGCATGGGATTCTCCAGGCAAGAATACTGGAGTGGGTTGTTATTTCCTTCTCCAGGGGATCTTGCCAACCCAGGGATCGAACCCTAGTCTCCCACATTGCAGGCAGATTCTTTACTCTCTAATCTTAATAAATATGTTCCAATACGTCTGTTTCTAAGAGAATCATATTTATTCAGAGGTAGGTTTTTTTTCTCAAGTGTCTTGCTTGTATCTGTGAGTTCATTTTCCTTTAGGGATAAGAAGCTCCTCTGTCTTTCCATGTTTATGAAGGAAAATTAGACTTTCACATCAATGTGCTTAAGGGATTTGGAGGCAGGAGGATAGATGAGTCCCAGAGTGGAAAATCCCAGTGACTAAATAAACCATTAGTAATGACCAACCCTATTACACAAAGCCTTAGATAAATGGCTTCACCTTTTACCTTCCCGAGAGAATCAGCATTAGGACAGACAATCCCCACAATAGATTATATTTAACAACGCAGGACATTTGAAAACAGTGTGGAAAAGTGGCTGTCCACATTTTTTCTTCATCTGTTTTTGTCAGCTCTCTTTTGTCAGGGTTTCTTTGCTGCTCTGATTTTATTCTTGAAGACACCTGTACTGGAGTTCTGAGCAGTCACAGGAGCCAGTGTTCTTTGTCCCAAGATGATCTTATGGGAGAAAGTGAAGCAGAACTGCTGTAGATCCTCCTACTGTCTGCTTTCACTCTTGCCCCTCAAAAGCACCCCTCACACAGAGCAGTGCAAACTTCTGTCACTGTGAGATTTTCTTATATAACATTTCTAGTTTCATTTGATTTTAAAAATTAACATTTCTAGTTTCATTTGATTTTAAAGTCATATAAAATTTTAGATAATGCTTTTTTAATCCATAATAACACAAATTTAATAGGAAGCAAGCAATATAAGGTGAAAAATACTGCAGTTCAAATATAAATATTTCATTGCCAAATTTCTATAAACTTAAATAATATTAGTGGAAATGTTTCATATTCTGTGTACAATGTCTCTTCAGTCTTTTAAACGTGCTTCCTGGGGGAAAAAGAAAACCTAAGTATCTTTCAACAATGATGCTCTTTATAGTGGCTATATCTGAATTATTATCTGGAAATGCTCTATTTTTCAAGGTAAGGAAATGCAGCAAGAATCTTTAACATTTATATAGATGTAGTTGAAAAGTGGCAGAAAAATCTAGACCTTTCAGCTCTTCTTGAGTGACTCCTTATTCAAAATGAGCTGGAGTTCTCAGAGCAGAATACCATGCTTTCTTGGGACTCCATTCAAGGGAATCTTTGGTTCATTGTGTTTCATAATAAATCTTGGGAGAACCAGTCGTGACAAAATATCTGACAGTGTGGCCTACTTGCATAGTGCATAGCGCATGGCTTTCAGGTCTGCAATACTGTATACTCTCTACCCATTGATCTATTTTAGGCAAAAAATATGTAAAACAATAGGCTAATGATATGTCCCCTGACTGATTTTACCTATAGTTAAGCTATTACAAGCAACTCTAGGTTGAAAATTTTTTCTGTTTGTGATGGTTATGAACAACTGAGTTATTTGGCTATTGTTACATGGGGCTCAGAGCTCAGGTTCTGTGTATTAATTATTTCACAAGATATATATGAGGCTAGCCTAAAAGTTTGAATTTTTTTCATGTTTAAGTTTTAAAATACAGCATGTGGTTATCTGACAAACTGATAAAAGTACTCATGACTTTTTCCCTTGAAAAATAACACTTTAAAGTTAAATTTTATTTTAGTTTAGTTTTGAATTTGAATGATAAAGGATATAAATTTCAGTATTTTTTACATGGCTTTAGTATCCACTTGATATTAATTTACTTTTAATGAATATAAAACTTAATTTTAAACATTTACTGAGCTAATGAATCACTTCTTTTAAAGATGCCTTGTGCCAGGATTGGAGGTAAAGAAAAACTTTAATTTGAAGAGAAACCCCACATCTTAGAATGTAACAGAAAAAGAAATCAGTAACATTATTCTGTAGAAATAAATTGGGGAATAAATTCCATTTGATGCTGAATACTGCAGACTGGAAAGAATTGATTTGCTATCTATAGAATCAGAGTTACTGTATATCAGGATGCTACACTCCAGAGCTACTAGTTCATTGCTACATGAATGCTTGATCTATTTACAATAACACTGGGTGTTTTCTTATATCAACTCTGGCAAAGGCAAAAAGGGATGGGGATGAAAATGGTTTAATGCACAAGTGCTTCAACTACCATTGTATTGATACTTCTGTGTTTCAGGTTATAATACATGTCCTTAACACAAATCTCATTTTTTATATAGTGTAATATCAACACTGCTGTTACACAGTAATTGGTATTATAAAATGTGCTGTGAGATAAATGCTGTTATTATGAAAATCCTGTTAGCAAGTCCCTATGTACTATACATGAAGGGCAGATTTACTAATATACAATCTGTAGTCACTTTCCTGAAAACCAGCTATGAAATACTATGCAATAATGCCATTAATAAATGTATCTAATTGCAGTATATAAAAGTGAAACTTTGAAGAGCTTAAAATGGCTTCTGTGAATGGTGAGATTATTTCAAGTAGATGTACTGAGCAACAGATATACTGTTACCCCTTTTTTGTACTGCCACATGTCAAGTAATAGATCATTAAAGTCCACAGTCAGACAGTTAGGCTAATGAGAAAATGCTGGTTCTTTTACAAAAAGTTGTCAGTAGATGGCAATGTGACTATTTTAAAAGGTATTTTTATTCCATATGGAACTAAAAACTTGAGATCATTCATGGTTTTCTACCTAAATTACTGTAATTTTTCCCCCCCAAAAGGGTTCCAAGAGCCATTTTAAACTATTCTTTAAATAATTGATAGTTACAAATGAAAAACCAAGCCTAGAATTTCCAAAGTGATCAAAGTTGCTTTAATTTTCTATTGGTCATGGCTGAATAAAAATAATGTTACAAACTACATCATCAATAACCAGGAATTGCAGAACCTCCATTTCAAAATAAAGCACTTTTAGCAAATCCATATTGTGCTCTCACTTAGGCATTGTGAGTGACTGGCTATGGCCTGCTGGTATACTATTTATTATAAGACTGAATAAAAAGATTACATTGAACATTTTTATTTCATTTTTTCCATTTTTAAAAAATACTTTCAGCTCTCTTGTCATCCAAATAAATCATGTTTGTTTTTCTGTTATGTTTAGTAATATTTTATAGAAATACTCTCATGCCTATATATTACATATATGCCTATATAACAACATATGATATTAAATATACCTGAAAAGTCAAAGCATGCTAGGCAGTCTGCATATACATTAAGAGGCCTTGGCATCTGAGTTCATTATACCTGATAAAAACCAGAAAAGAATAATATAGTCTGGAGAGAAATTCTGGGAATTGAGTTTTGGCAACTGTGGAAATTCTATGAAAGAGAAAAATATTTTGAAATTCCTGGACAATTGTATTAGAAGATACAAAGATAGTATTCACTCTACAGAATTATTTTAATCATATTGCACCTTAAACTTGTGATTCCATATTAAGATTACGAGGGGTAAAGAAAAAGATATATTATCACGAGTGGGATTTTATGAATGTGCAGTGTGCTGTAGTGGGCAATCACTGGTCAGTTAAAAACATGATTAGTAGTCATGGTGTAATCTGAGATACTCTTTTATCAATAAAGTGAATGGAAGTAACTTTTCAATATCAAATATTTCTTTAGGTCTCATTAGTGACTGAAGGTTTACTCTGACTTTGATCCCAATTTGATCAGCAAGGCCCACTAAAATGGGAAAATTCTAATCCTGGGAATTCTACTCAGGAATTCTCTCTATCCCTGAGCCCTAAGTAGCATTGATCCAAAGGAACAAGAACAAATCAGTTCACATCTCAGAAATTAGGATTTTCAAAGGCTGGCTCCTTTTTTTACATAACTCTTTAAAATAGGTTTTCTTGAATGTGACAATGGAAAATCCATAAGCCACAAATGATTCTTGAATTTGTAATTAGATATATAATTTAAGAATAATTTTGCCAGTGGGCAAAAGCAGGGGTAATACAGAGAATAAAAACTATTTTTCTCCTATCTGTTAACATAAAGAAAAACCAAGAATGTGAGAATTATGAGTTTACATTTAATCCAAGGTATTACTGAGGACTACAACCTGGGTGTTATTTACTTAGCTATTGAGTTAGCTCAGAGGAAGTGCTCTGAAGAGGTAGGGGACAGGCCTATTCATATATGAATTTTGATGGTTGGGAAATACATGCATGAAAAGTTAAAGTGTTAGTCGCTCATTTGTGTCCATCTCTTTGTGACTCCATAGACTGTAGCCTGGGCTGCCCAGGTTCCTAGTGATAAAGAACATGCCAATGCAGGAGATGCTGGAGACGTGGGTTTGATTCCTGCTGGGAAGGTCCCCTGGGAGAGGGCATGGCAACCCACACCAGTATTCTTGCCCGGAGAATCCCATGGTTGGAGGAGGCTAGCAGCTACAGTCCATGGGGTCACAAAGAGTCAGACACAACTGAAATGACTTAGCATGCGTGCATGCAGACTGCAGCCCACTAGATTCCTCTGTCCATGGAATTCTTCAGGCAAAAATACTGGAGTGGGTAGTCATTCCCTTCTCCAGGGGATCTTCCTGACCCAGGGATCAAACCCAGGTGTCCTGCATTACAGACAGATTCTTTACCATCTGAGCCTCCAGGGAAGCCCTAAATACATCTTGCTAATCATGAAAATCAGATATCTCAAATTAATGATTTTATTGTTTGCATAAGTATGGGAAGATGCAAGAATCTGGTGTCATTAATTTCACCCTGAGATATATATCCATGTAAGGGCCTATGTATCCAAAGCACAATTCCTCTCAGGTTACACTGTTGGTGGCCACTGAAAAGGGGTATGACTTAGCCTTTGAAGAGTGGTGAGCGATGCCCTTTTGTTCTTTGTTCATATTCCCTTCTAGGTTCTTGGTTGAGATCCCCCTCACCACCACCAACTCACCTGTAATAAAAGACAGATTAACAGGAGAAAGACAAACAGAATTTTAACAACTTGTATACTTCCCATGTAAACATGAATATCTCTTACAAAGGGTAACCTCTACTCAGTTTTCCAAGCTTTTCCTATGTCTGCTCTTTCTTAAAAATAGTCAGTCTAAAAAAGTTCTTATGCCAAAGAGGCATACTTTGCAGGGGGCAGGGGGTGGGGGGAGGTGAAATTCTGCTCACTCTCAATAGCATCCCTTGTAGAAATATGCAATTATTTACATATATTAAAGAATTAAAGGGCTTCCTCGGTGGCTCAATGGTAAAGAATCTGCCAAATTAAAGGAGATAGTACACTGGCTTTGACAAATTAAAAGGATAAATTTTAAAATTCTAATATTTTATAATTTTTTATAATTTGAATAAAATCAGTCGTTCTCTCTTATGATTTATGTTGAATGAACTTTAGTAGTTTGTATTGTAAGGACAAAAAATTAAAAGTATGAGGCTTAATTATCCCTGTCAAAAATAGGGGAAGAGATGTTTCATCCCCTTCTTTTTCTTGGAGCATTTACCTTAGAAAACTTGCAACTGTAGTACTTTCTCGTCTCTTTGAATGTATATAAGCCCTTTTGAAAACTAAATAGGCATTCTGTCTTGGCCTTTTGTCAGCTTTTTGGTCCAGGAAAGTTTCTGTCAAGAATCTGCAAGCCATCTCTTTGAAATGCTAGCATTCAGGGAGAGAGTACCCCTATCTCTGTTTCTATGAGAATAGGAACCTAAATTCAAGGTTGTCTCCTGACTCCAAAATGCAAAACCACCTCTTGTAATAAAATTGTGAAGTTTGTTATTCAATCAGATAAAACCAGCCTTCCCTGGTGGTTCAGATGGTAAAGAATTTGCCTACAATGCAGGACACCTGGGATCCTGGATCTGGAATGTCACCTGGAAAAGGGAATGGCAATACACTCCAGTATTCTTGCCATGGAAAATTCCACAGACAGAGGAGCTTGATGGACTCTCAGAGAGTTGGACACTTTCATTTTTTCTCAGAAAAAACTAGTTAACACAGATGGTAGATACAATTATCAGGTAAAGTTAGTATGAATAATGTGTGACAAATTATGCTGTCAATTCCTCCTACTTGAGGACTAGCTATTGTTTATCTGAAATACTTTGATATATCTTGTCATATCCACTTGGCTGTATGAAACAGTAAGATTTCTTTTTGCCTTTGCAATCTCTTAGCTGATTGCCTGAGATGGTCATTACATTACGCTGTAATGCTTATTCAGTAATAGAAAAGTTTTCTCTCTCTACAAACTTTGTGGAGAGGATTTCTTGGTTGTGCAAAGATTCTGTTTTTAATTATACTTCCCCTATGGTATTTAACCAGAATTCAAATTTTATTTTCTTGCTTCACATTTTTTTCCTGCCATTGCAACTCAACCTTAACTATTGCTCTGGGCAAGAATCAGATTCCTATATTAGTTACCAATTCCTATTGATATAGCTGCAATTTATCTTCATGATCTTTCATTATTCATTGAGGATAATTGTGTGCCTTATAGCATGCCACTTGTTTCAAACAAAGCAGTCAAGCAAAACATAAAGAGGAAAGCTATCAGAGGAATTCTTTTACTTCTTAAAGTAAGAAAGCAAATTTTTTACATGAGTTTCAAGTTTTTGAAAAATCCATGAAGTAGTATGTGAATTGTTTTAGGCAATAAAAATAGCTTTGTTTGGCAATATTTGTGGCTAAACCAGGGTTAAAAGTAAATGTATAATGAATAAAAATACTAGTGAGAATTCTATCATTTGACTTGTGAATGAAATGATATTTTTCATTAAAAAATGATTTATGCTTATTTCCTATTAAAATAGAATCTTTTTCAAGGAAAACATAAGACAGAAACAATGGAACTTCCTGTGGAAGTTGTCACATTAAACTAATAAATCATGGTGAAACCTATGCATTTTAAAGTATCTTTCCTTCAGATAACCTTGGAGCTGCTCTTTAGTCAATACTTTCATTAGATGTTTCTTCATCTGCTATCATCAGAGACATATGTGAGTTAGAAAACCTGTTTTGTGAAGTGATACTATAATAATTATTTTTAAATCCAGTGCCTGGATAGAAGGTCATATTTCTTCAGTTTTGCAAGGTTTTCTTAGATACCAATTAGAATACAAAATTACACTTTCCGTCTATAAATGGCGATGTTTCTACCTTCTAAAAACATGATTTTTCTTATTGTAGTAAATAGAATAATAGCCATAAAACATCCATAGTGCTCTAAGTTTTATAATTCTTGCTGTTTTTGTAACAAAATTGCCTATAGACACAAAAAGTAAAACCCATTGACTCACCTTCAGAGCTTTAATGGAGTTTGAAAATCCATCTTAAAGCATAGACTTGATTTTTCAAGGAGAGAGTTGAGAGAATAGCATATGTAATCTGAGTATTCTTAATATCTGAACTCTATGCTTTCCAGGCCTTCTAGATGATTAGGTGTTGAAGGTTAGATTGGACGTTATTTGAAATACAATTTTCCTTGGACTGGCAATAATACCATAGACTGGCCTAAGACCTCAAAGTCATAAGTTATTATCACTCTGTCTTCAGAAAAGATGTCATTTTACAAAAATCTCTAAGGTTAAAGGAAGACATTCAACTTGCATTAAATATCTTTTACCTCCCTTGTTTGCAGAGAGGTACACAGCAAATTTTCTATTCTTGTTTCTTCTGGAAAATTCCATGATGAATTGACTGTGAAACATTACTTTTAGGAAAACTATATGTAAACACTAGTTTATACCCAGTATACTTTTCATGTGTAATCAAGCTTCATTGATGACATTAGTGTCCTATGTATTGTACTAGCTCCGTTTGACTCTTAAAATTATACTCTACCAAGTATCTACTATTGAAAATAAAAGCTTCTTCATTTCTTAATATGCTTACTCTGACTTATACATACTCAAAGTTTTAGATGTGGTTTAATATCATGCTGAGGTATAAAAATTTGAAGAGTAAATGGAATCACAGTCCTATAGAGTTGGGAGGATCCTAAGAAACTTAGTTGAATTTTTTCCTTCAGTGAAAAGTTCAATTAGTTTGTAGCACCCTTGAGTCTAAGGAAACTGTTCATATAGCCAAATCTGTTATGCAAGAAATTTTTATTCACTTATTCTCTCTTACAGGGAGTGGAAGTTACTGAAAGCTTCTTTGGTAAAGTTAGAGATAGTTAATAAATTATAGCTCTCAACTTGTGACTTTCCTATTTGAATGAGTACATTCTTTTATTTTCTATGATTTTAGTCATGGAAGATAAATACACTTATTTTTCAAGACATATATTAAATTTGAAATAATATCTTGATTTCTAATCATATTCAGATAGGTATAACTGTATTTCTAGGGAAGTCACAGAAATTTTTAAAATTTCCCTTTTTGACTTAAAATATTTTTATATTAATAAAAAAGGATAAACTTAATGCATGACTCCCTGATTTTTTAACTTTGGTTTTTGGTTTTGTTTTTAGTAAACTAAGTATACTCTACTATTTAGATGTTTATTTTGAAAGTCTCTAAGACATTTTTGGGAACAAAATATTTTTTATTTACTAAGAACTGGAGCTACATTTTTTTATAAGTAGTATTTTTAAATGCATAATTGTTATGATTGCAGATATACAATAATTATTCTCACTGCAGACTTTTTTTTTTTTTTTGTAACAGCTTCAACTAAATTTTATGTTCTGCTCTTATGGAGGCCAACTTGGTTTTGTATGTCATCAACATGCTATAAATAGTGAAATAATTATTTACTTAGAGTTACCTAACTTACTTTCATACCAGCCATAACAAAATAAAAAAAAAAGAAACTGGATTGATCAAACTGAAACATTATTAGTATTTTTATGTGTCATGAACTCCATAGTGGAAATTCTTTATACCCCATGGCATTGGGTCCTGAGTTTATTATAAATCCCCCCGGGCTCCACTGGGAAGGATTTTAAGCAGTTTTAAAAAATCATTTTATTTATTCTCTTTCTCTAAAGATAATTGGTGGTTAGTAGGAATGACTACATACCTGTCCAAAGCTTAGGAGTAATAAAACATGACTGTATCCTTTTCTAAGATTGGCTATGAAGGATACTTTGGTACAGGTATTTGCCTTGGGAGAAAATAACCAATTAACAGTACACACCAGGAAGTAGCAGCTGCCTGGCAAACAGGGAAGTCCTGGAAGGCAACGTTTTAGTAAGAGAGGAACACATCATGGTCCTGGAAACTATATATGTTTTATTTCTGAAATAGGCATAGATTTTAAAATATATGCAAAAGTATAAATACAATAACATTATTGACATTTATATCTAAATCAGATATGTATTTCATATGTAATGTTTACATTTAGTTTTAGTTTAGTTTAGTCGCTCAGTCGTGTCCGACTCTTTGTGACCCCATGAATCACAGCATGCCAGGCCTCCCTGTCCATCACAAACTCCCAGAGTTTACTCAAACTCATATCCATCGATTCGGAGATGCCATCCAGCCATCTCATCCTCTGTCATCCCTTCTCCTCCTGCCCCCAATCCCTCCCAGCATCAGGGTCTTTTCCAATGAGACAACTCTTCGCATGAAGTAGCCAGAGAATTGGAGTTTCAGCTTCAGCATCAGTCCTTCCAATGAATATTCAGGACTGATGCTTTTTAGGATGGACTAGTTGGATCTCCTTGCAGTCCAAGGGACTCTCAAGAGTCTTCTCCAACACCACAGTTCAAAAGCATCAATTTTTCGGTGCTCAGCTTTCTTCACAGTCCAACTCTCACATCCATCCATGACCACTGGAAAAACCATAGCCTTGACTAGATGGACCTCTGTTGGAAAAGTAATGTCTCTGTTTTTTATTATGCTATCTAGGTTGGTCATAACTTTCCTTCCAAGGAGTAAGTGTCTTTTAATTTCATGGCTGCAATCACCATCTGCAGTGATTTTGGAGCCCAAAA